CCCCCGACCCCCTCCCCCGCTCCGGCCCCCTCCCTCCATTTTATTATCCACTGGGGAGGGAACCTGACTCACCAGCTTTCTTAAAGAGGAAGCCGATGGGGATGGAGATAAGAAGAACCACTAGATATGTCCATTCTTCTGGCGACATGGTCTGGGGGAGGGACAGAGGTTCGTAGTGAGAACCCAGAAGTCCAGGTCCGCAGCCTCTTCCCCTTTGAGGATTCAGAAATCTGCCCCCTGGTTCCCAGTTGTCCAGGACGGAGAAGTCCCGCCCTTGGCTCCTCTCCTCTGAGAGAACATGAGTCCAGACCTCCAGGCCTTTCTTCCTTTGAGGATAGAGGATTCCAGCCCCAGCTCCGTCTTTTGAGAACCCAGGCCTCCAGCCCCCCCTCCCCTCCTTCGAGGATCTGGCGGACCAGCCTCTCTCTTCTGGTCCCCCGGCCCTTTCCTCTTCGACACGCAGGTCTCCAGACACCCCCAGCCAGTCTTCGAGAGGACTCAGCGGAGCCCAAGACTCCAGCCTCCACTTCTTTCGGAGCTCCGGACCCCTCCTGCCTAAAACCCGAGAATGGGCCCCACCTGGGTCTCAGGCACCCTCTCTAGCCCCACTTCGGTTACGCGCACCCAGTGGCTGTCAGGTCCGCCCGGTCAAAGCCACAGGCGGTTACGCCATCCGGAGCTCGGCCGCGCTCCGGCGCCGCCCCCGCACCCCATCAGGTAGCGGATGCGCAGAGACGCCACCGCGTCTCTGGGAGCCCCCATCCAGGCCCACCTGGGCCCGGCTCCGCGCCGCCTGCCGGGCAGGAGGCGGCCGAGCGGTCCCCGCCCGCAGTCCACCCGGGTCTGGCCACGCCTCCCCGCCTCGCACGCCCCAGACTCTCTTGCGGACCCGCTGAGCCGAGCGATCCGGGGCCACGTGGGGGCCCCAGTCAGGCTCTGGAAGAGGTAGAGAAGGAGCTGGCACGCGGCACCAGGAGCACACGCCGGCCGCTGGACCTGGACCCCGGATATGCCCAGCCGCAGTACACAAGGGGCGGGGCTTCGGGCTCGGGAAGAGGAGGAGTCCGAGTTTCGGACTCTGAGCGACGCAGAGGGACCCGGGAAGGAGGCGGGGCCAGGCAGCGTTTGGCATGAGACCGGGCCTCCGCTTCGGGTTCCTTCGGGCTGAGTCGGGCGGCAGTGTAGAGGGGGGACCACGAGCTTCGGTTTCCTTCGGAGACAGTCGGCTATGAGTGACCCGGGTTTGCTGATAGGCGGAGTCTCAGGCTTAGGTAACAGGAAAAAGGCGGTGATCAGACCCTATCCCCAGGGGGCGAGGCCAACAGCGCCCAGCTCTGAAGGGGAGGGGCCCCGGGCTTAGTCGGCCAAGGAGGGCAGGGTCAGGGCAACACGCCTCGTGTTCCAAAGTCGAGGAACCGATCGGCGGAGGGAGGCGCGCTTCGGGAGGCGGGGTGAAGGTGCTACTCTTCAGGGGAAAGGCAGGGCTACGGCCATGAGGGCGGGTTCCAGATTTCCCGCTCTCCGAAGGTGGTATCGTGGCGAAATTGACTCGGGGGGGGATCCGCATGGGCTCCGGTGGAGAAAGCCGCGCGTGGCGCGCTACGTAAGAGGTGGCTCCGCTGGGACTGCGAGTCGGTGTTTACGAGGTGACTAGCTGGTTCTGTCAGAGGACATGCAGTCTGAAGAGAGGCGAGGAGGGGGAATGAGCGCCCACGAGTGGGGTGAGCCCGCCGAAGAGGAGAACGAACAGCTGGCGCTCAGGGGGCGGGGCCTCGGCAGCGGGGTTCGGCCGTGGGGCGGTGACTCCCTAACTGGGCAGCGCTAGCGGCTGGAGGGGGTGGGGCTTCTGGCTACGGGTTGACGGAGACCATAACGCCTGAACGCCGAACCGCTGGCAGCCGGGAGGGGGCGCGGTTGTGCACTGCCGAGCCGAGAACTCCCGAACGCGGAACCGCCGATGTTCGGAAATGGGCGCGGCTTCGTGCGGTGGAGTCCGGCTGCGCAGAGGCCCTGAGGCCGAACCTCTGGTGCCTAGGAAGGGGAGGAGCCAAGTCCAGTGGCAGCTGAGGCGGGCGTGGCCTCGGCCTCGGCCTCGGCCTCGGCAGGTCCCGGCTCCTGGCGGGATGGGAGACGCCCGCTTTGCGAGAGGAGCGGTGCAAATGGGCTTCAGAGGGGGCGTGGGCCCGGCGGGAGCATTTTCTCGGCAGTGTGAGCCGAGAACGGAACGCAGCC